GGCTTTACACTCGTGACTATTTCCACTGAATCAAATACACCCACATCTATAAGTGGTGCCACAACCTCTGTTTCAACTCCTATGGAGTTGAGCACAACTACAACTATTGCTGACACTGCAACAACCATGACCATGTCTATGGTACCCAGCTCACCTACCACAGCTCTAAGTGGTTCCACCACTTCTGCTTCAACTCCTACTCAAAACGACACTCCTACCACATCTACTTTTGCCACCATCTCTCCTGTGACCATTTCCTCAGAAGCCAGCACATTTTCAACAATTGTTCCTGACACCACCTCACCTGTCTACCTCTGGCCCTGCAACAAACTCTGCCTCCTCCACTTCTGTGACCTCTAAGGTTGTCACCACCATGACTCTCTCAACCTCAACAGCTGGAATAAAGCCAAGCACGCAGAGTGCTACCTCCACCACAGTTCCCACTGTCTCCAATAACTTGTCCACAGTGACAGTGAAGAGCACCCCTCCCCCAACTCCTAGTGCTCCACCAACCATTCCAAGTAAGTAATTTCTTGAATTTGCCTTTTTGAAACTTAAATTTCTTTTCTATATTCCTGCTTTGTAGTTTTCTTCTTCTTCTTCTTCTTCTTTTTTTTTTTTTTTTTTTTGATACTTTGTTCAGATAGAATGGGAGGAAGAGAGAGAGAGAGAAATATCGACGTGAAAGGGACACATCGAGTGGTTGCCACCCACACGACCCAACCAGGGCCGGGGACAAACTGCAACCAAGGTACATGCCCTTAGTGGGAACCGAACCTGGGTCTCTCTGGACCGCAGGCCGATGCTCCAACCGCTGAGACAAACCGGCCCGGGCTGTAGTTTTCTTCTTAAACTTAACTCACTCCTTACGCTTTTACTTGTTTTTCTTTAAGTAAAAACGTCTGCAGTCCTATCTGTATGTATTATTTCTCTGTATGTCTTGCTGTTTCTTGCAATAGATCATTCTTTTGGACAACACAGTTTATCTCTCTTTACCTGGACACCTTCAATCCTCAGTAAGGTGTCCACATATCCCATTTTCTCCCTTTTATACTCTGCAAGTACCTGTCTCATTGCGCTTTATATACTACAATTTCATTAACTTTGCATCTTTCATTTGCATTTTACATCTTTCTAGAGAGGTTTTACTCATGATTTTGCACATGTTATGTGCAAAGTTTTGTTTTTGCAGGAGGATGTGGCTAATAGTATTTATGTGTACCTGTGGCAACTGTCTCTCTGCCACCACTCACTTTTGTTTTGTTTCTATCTTCTCTTCTGAGCATTCACCATAGAAGCAAAAGAAGGTTCACTTTTGTCAGCTTTGAACTCTACCTTCATGTCCTTGAATGTGTACCCTTATGCTTCCTTCTCTTCTCTCTGACTCTATAGCTTTCACTCAGCTCTCTTCACTCTGGTTAGAATGAGGCCTGCCTTACTCCATACCCACTGTTATAAGGACTGTCATTATATTACATATGTACTGTTATTAATTCACATATAATAACAGTATATATTATATGGTATATCATTATACCTGTCATTACTACCAGATTGGGAAAGGATATTTGGCGTGCATTAAATAAAGTACAGCAGGGCCCTGGCTGGTTTGGCTCAGCGGTTAGAGCGTTGTCCTTGGGTGAGGATTAAATAAATAAATAAATAAATAAATAAAGTACAGCAGATTCTTGAATAATGTTGTCTCATTCAACATTGTTTTATTAAAACATAATGAGATGCCATAAGAACGTAACTCTTGTTTATATTAATCAGCTTATGGCACAATTGGTTTCATTATACATTGTTTCACTTCATAGGACCTATTGAGGATGTTGTGAGGACTTGCTGTATACTAGTTAAGATACTTGAAAGTTTTACTGATTTAAATGAACTATAGATATTCTCACAGACATGTGGCCTAAGTCTGTCCAGGCACTGCCCAGTATGTCTTGAATTAATAAAAATGAAAGGTGGTTCTTGAGCTTTTGGCTGCTACATTTTCTTTTTTTTTTCTTTTTTTTTTTTTTTTATCCTCACCCGAGGATATTTTTTCATTTCTTATACAGATAGAGTGGGAGGGAAAGAGAGGAAGGGAGAGAGAGAGAGAGAAACATCGACGTGAAGGGACACATCGAGTGGCCGCCACCCGCACGACCAACCAGGGCCGGGGACAAACTGCAACCGAAGTACGTGCCCTTAGCGGGAACCGAACCCGGGTCTCTCCGGACCACAGGCCGACGCTCTAACCGCTGAGCCAAACTGGCCAGGGCTGGCTGCTACATTTTCTCAGGGCGTTGTGAATTCTTCCTCTGTTGAGTTCTGCTTTGCCTGGCCTTTCTCTTATGTGGCTTTGTTCTCTGGTTTCTCTCCTTTGTCTTGGTGAGTTCTCTCTGGTTCTCAGGCGGTGGGCTGAGCATCTCCAGAGGGGTGGTCTGGGCCTTGTGTTCCCAGGAAGCCTCACAGATGTTCACATCAAATGCCAGGTGGCTACGTGACTGCTGAGCTCAAAGCTAGTTTTGGAAGGCAGTTGGTCCCCTTCTGTCTTCCTCCTGGACTCTTGCATCATCTCTTTTATTATTCCCAAATATCTTGGACCAAAGGCTGTAAATAGAAGCTGTGTGATGTGACAGTTGTGGTTGTGGCCCCTGCTCTGAGAGTCTGGTGCTGATAGACCAGGAGGCAGAGGTAGGGCAGGTCTTCTTAGAGTATACGCACACCTCATGTGCCTCCCCAGAGAAAACATACCATAAATACTGGTCTGCACAGGCACAGCTCTTTTCAAGAAAAGCCAAAGAGAACAGAGCTTTTGATTTTCCAGGTTGGTTGGCATAGATATTTGAGAGTTGTCTATAACCACTTCCTATCTATTTAAACTAAGTCTGCACTCCTCTCTCAAATGCCATGTCCCAGCAAATGAAAAATGAATCATAAGCAGTAACAACGGCAATAATTTCCAGGACAAGCTCTTCTGAAGCAGGCATTGAAGGGACAATGGCGTGCTTATTCCCAGGCTTGGTGGACTCCAGATTGGTCAAGTCCCCCTGGGTTCTCCCAGTCTCCGTCTCCCTTTTTCTCATCCTCAGTCTTGACTCTGTTGCCCTCACTTCTCACAACAGCAGGTTTTTCTTTTCTTGCTTTTTGGGACAAAAGTAAAGCATGTTGGAAATAGGCCTCCACAACCAGGTCGACTCTGCTTCCATGTGGCAGCTTAGCCTCTCTCTGCCTCATTCTCCCATCTGCAAAGTGGAGATGTCCTGCTCACCCGGGGTCTCATGAGAATATCAGATCATGTCTGTGAAAAAATGTCGCAAGCTATAAAGTACTGTACAAATACATGTAGTTGAGCTGCGCCTTGTTTCTTTCAGGGACCTGCTTCAACTGAGGGGCATGAAACGGAACGGTCTGTGAATGCCCCCCTGACTCTGGAGGAGATCAGTGCCAGCACCAGGTCATGGTCTGCCAGAATGAAGGCTACCGGGATGGGATCAAGTGTGTGTGCACCAGCCTCTGCCAGGGGCCGAAGTGTGAGGATGTGGTCCCGAGCATTGAGATAAGTGAATAAAACTGCAGGGCCCTTTCTTCCCCAACCTTGGGCACCAACCTCTACGCTGGGAACCCATTTCCACTCCTCCAAGGCTAGGAATATGGCCTCTTCCTGGGGCAACTATTTTACCTAGTGGTAAGAAAGTAAAAATATTTTTTAAATGACTAAATCAAGAAGGTATAGTTTGAAATAAAATAAACATTCGGCACGGAATTTTACCAAAAAATATACTTAGAAGAGGGGGTGGGGGGGTGGGAGGAGATAAACCACAGAACTTATATGCATGTATGTATAACCAATGGACATAGACAGCAAAGCCGGGGATGGGGGGGGGGTGTCAATGGGGTAAAAAAGGAGAAACATCTGTAACAAAAATAAAATTTAAAAAAAAGTAACAGTGAAAAAATATATATACTTAAATTAGTGAGTATATGATGGAGCAGAATACAAAATGTGTATAGAATTCTCTAATATAATATAAGACCTAAGGTCCCTTGGTCTCCAAAGCCATGAGGAGTACAGTGTATCCCCCTCTCTCCAAGGGCTCTCTGGTAATACCTGAGTGGGGGTTGGGAGACCCAAGCTATTCCTCCACCCAGGGCAGAGTTCCTAGGGGTATGGGTTTCCTTGGTAGAGAATTCAGTGGGTGCTGCCCTCAGTAAGTGATGCTGTTGTCTGACCCCCTCAGACCCTCCAGAGACTATCCCTGCCCAGGTGAAACTGACTGTGACAGTGACCAATAAGAACTTTACCAAAGAGCCCTGGCCGGTTTGGCTCAGCGGTTAGAGCGTCGGCCTGCAGTCCAGAGAGACCCGGGTTCGGTTCCCGCTAAGGGCGCGTACCTCGGTTGCAGTTTGTCCCTGGCCCTGGTTGGTCGTGCGGGTGGCAGCCACTCGATGTGTCCCTTTCGCATTGATGTTTCTCTCTCTCTCTCCCTCCTGCTCTATCTGAACAAGGAATGAAAAAGTGTCCTCGGGTGAGGATAAAAATAACAAAAAAAAAAAAAAAAAAAAAAGAACTTCACCAAAGAGCTACAAGACTGGTCTTCTTCACAATTGCAGGAGTTCAATAAGACATTCACAGAGCAGGTGGGCCTGGAAGAGCAAGTCCCCATTGCCACTCAGATCTCCCCTGGGAGGGGTCTCTGTTAGAAAGTAGATGAAGGCCTTGTTAGAGGTGTGAGTTTCTCAGCTCACCGTTTCCTCAGGGCTTGCGGGGAGGGAGGGGGGGGGCACAAAGCAAGATTCTACCCGGGCTCGCCAGGGCCCCAGGGGCTGCAGGAGTGGAGCTGGTCTCTGGAAAGAGATTGCTGTGTCTGGACAGGGTGCCCCTGCCAGCTGGGGTGGGGATGAGAGTGGCTGCATGTCTATCCTCTGCACTCCTGAGACTCCATGGAAAGGCCTGGAAGGTCCCCAGGTGGGGCCTCTGGGATAACAGTGTCCTTTTTGCCTTCCAGATGAACATAGTTTATTACAGAATCCCTGAATATAAAGGGGTTAACATCGCAAGATTGGTGTAAGTATCTGGGGCTCCTAGGAAGAAGGTCTATGGAGTGGAAGCTATAGTCCTAATTATAAAGACAATTGTAACTATGGCCTCTGGATTAGTCTGCTAGAGCTGGCATAACAAAACATCCCAGACTGGGTGGCTTCAACAACAGATATTTATTTCTCATGGTTCTGGAGGCTGGAAGTCCAAGATCAAGGTGTCAGCAGGTTTGATTTCTGCTGAGTCCTCTGTCCTTGGCTTGCAGACAGTTGCCTTCACTGTGTCCTCAGATGGCCTTTCCTCTGTATCTCTGGAGTCTCTTTGTGTAACCAAATTTCCCCCCTTTTTAATATGTATCTTTATTGATTTTTGAAAGAGAGAGGAAAGGAGATGTTGAGAGAGAGAAAAATCGATTGGCTGTCTCCTGCATACCCCCTACTGGGAATCAAGCCCATAACCTGGAAAAATGCCCTAACCTGGGAAATCTAACCAGAGACTTCTTGGTGGACAAATGCCACTCAACCAACTGAGCCACACCAGCCATGGCAAATTTCTTCTTCTTATAAGGACACTGGTCACATAAGGCCCACTCTAACAATCTCATTTTAACATAATCATTTCTGTAAAGGCCCTATCTGCAAATACAGACACGTTGTGAGGTACTAGGGGATCCAGGCTTCAACATATGGATTTGGGGGAACACAATTCAGCCCATAAAACCCTCCAACAATTATAGTTTTACATACATTTTCCAGTTGAAAGCTCATAACCACCCTGTAAGTGAGGCCAGTAGGGCTGTTCCCATTGTGCAGATGAAGAAACTGAAGCTTAGAGAGATGCAGTGAGTTGCTTGAGGGGCCATTTATAAAGCGGTAGTGCCAAGACACCAACACACTAGAACACCTGGAGGCTACAACTTGTGTGATGGACACCTCATTAGTCTCCACTGATGAAGACAAATAGCTTGCAAAGGGAAACGCGCAGGACAAAAGGTGTCCAAGTCCACAGTTATCCTGCGTTCACTTCCACTTACATCGGATAGGCTTTTGCCCCTACAGAATATTTATCCTGTTATTGACCCCAGCTTTACAAAATCCTTTGGAACACAAGGGAGATATCCTTTCTCATGGCTTACAGGGTCATCATTGATAATTTTCGAAAGAAACTTATAACTAAAAGAAAAAAAAAAAGCACAGAAAAATACTGTGTTTACCAGCCTTCACTTTTCTTCCTCCCTTAATTCTGTCATGAAACCTTCTCTCTCTCACAAGAGAGGCCACCCCAGGTAGGACCAGGTGGGGTTCCCAAGCCCCCTCCCAGTCTGCATGCACAGCAGGTGCCTGGGCCAGCACCAGGGCAGGGCATGTCTGCCCTTCAGCAGCTCAGCCACCCTGGAAGAGAACAGCGTTTTCTTTCTGCCCATCAAACTCCTCTCCGAGACTGGCATGTGTTGATCCTGTAGGGCTCTCTCTTTTGCCCCTGAGGTGGGGTTGGGGAGCTCTGTGGTGCCAGGCCTCATCTCTGTACTTCATCTGTTCCTCAGTCTCTCAGGCAAGAGAGGGAGGATGGGCTCTGAGGTCCAAGCACTGAGCCTAAAGGCATCACTGGTTTTTGTCTATCCCACCATCTCAGGCAGATAGGAAGAGAGCTGGGCTCTGAGGGCGGAGGGAAAGCACACGGCAGGAAAGTGATTCTTGTTCAGAGAGAAAGGGACTGGGAGCGAGGGACGAGAAAAAGAAGCAAAGGGAAGCTGTGAGCATGTCTGAGGCCCTGGCTCCTCCTAACTCCTGAGCAGGGAGTAGGGAAAGACTTTTGACTAGAATTTTAACCTTTTAGGTATCAGGAACTCCTTTTAGAATTGACAAATATATGTGGGAGTAGAAATAACTGGATATATACACCTTGAAATTTTTGCATACAGTCAAGAGGCTCACAGACCTCCTGCAGCCAGCCTGTCATGTAGAAATTCATAAGTCTCTTAGGAGTCTCTGGTGCAACCTTCCCCAAGGCTGAAGGTCCCTTATGGATACCTTGCCAGCAGCTGCCCAGTCTTCTGCTTAAGTGCATATCATAGTACCTTAAGAATGACCTGCTCCATGGTGCCAGCCCTCTGACCATCTTTATCTTTGAGCCTTCCCTGAGTCTTCACCTTTGTAGACAGTCCTCTTAGGCACAGGTGATATGGGTCCTATGGTCACATGCCCAGCACAGTGCCTTGGAAGGAGCCTTCACCCAGAAGTCACAGAGTCTTCATTTCCAACTATCCTCCCCAAGCTCTGCCTTCCTATGGGGGAAGAGAGGGCAAAGCCCACCTGGGGCGGGGGTTGGAGAGGTGAGCAGCCATTATCACCTGGGAGGATGACAAAGGACATCCTTCTCTCTCCCCTTAGTCCTGCAGTGTGGTGGTGCAGCATGAAGTCCTCCTGAAGACCAAGTTCAACCTAGATTACAAGGAAATTTTCAAGAATGTCACCCAGATGATACAGGAAAATATTATGAATGTATCCCAAGAGCAAGTAATCAGGAATAATACCTGCCAAAGTAAATTGTTAGGCTTCCGGGGAGAGGCATGAGGAGGCCTTCGAGGAATCTTTAAGCTTTGGCATACCTGAGGTGGGGAGGGAAGAGAGGCAGGTGGCAGAGGCAGGAGAACACTGAGAGCCCAGGAGTCAGTCCCAAAGCTTGTCACTTGGACTGGTAGATGCCAAGAGAGGCTCTGAAAGGAGGGTGCAGAGGCAGGTGTGCTAAACCCTGAGTCTGCAGGAAAATGAGAATGAGCCTGACTTATTACCCAATGTCGGTGTTGCTCAATGCAGTGAGTAGTATGGGAATCTTGGCCAAGGAGAGTATGGGAGAAGAAAGACACCTGGAGAGTCATGGTTCTGGAGAGCTGGATGTGAGGCTGGCATTCCCGCTTTGCAGGGGCTGATTTCCACCTCTCCCACACGGCCCCATGCCCTCCCCACACCCCACGCACACCTGAGCCCCACTCAACAAGCTCACCAGGGGCTTTGTGTCTCCTTCACAGCCATACTGTGCTTCAGTGAGACTGCCACAGAGGTGAAAAACATTTCCTTAACCCAGTACAACCCTGAAGGTAGGTGACCCAGCGCTCAGGGGAGGGCGGGGGACGCAGGCAGCGCTCCCAGCCTTTGATCATGTGCCTCCATGCCCCATCAGGGGAATGCGGCAGAAGGCTGGGAAAGACTTTGCTGACTACTTCTCCGTGGTGTACGAGGACCAGAAACCAAACTGCATCAGCCGCTGCCAGCCTGGCTTCAGTATCTCCATGAACTGCAACTTTGGGACAGGCAAGCTGGAGCGCAGTGGCCCGAAGTGCTAGTGAGTGTCCCACCGCGCCCCCCCCCCCAAGGCCTGCTGCCCTCCTCTTTGCAGCGCCCTGGGAACCCCACTACTCAAAACTCTACCGGAGGCCCAGGTCATGGAGTGAGTACTGGACTTTCCTAAATGCTACCAGCCACGAGGGACACTCATGGCCAGAGCCCCAAGTCCAGCTCCAGAACGGGCTGGGAGTGGTTCCTTTCCCTGGGGTATGTCTCCAGTCAACTTCCCTGCTGGTGAAGTGAAGACAGATCACACCTGCGTGGGAAGGGTGGCAAGCCTGTAAAAGCCGAGGGAGTAGGAAAGCAAAGAAAGGCATTGCCTACTGAAACTAAACTAAAGAGAGACCAGCTGGAGCACCAGGTATGCAAAGGCCTGAGTGGTTATTCTGGGAAGGCTTCCTGGAAGAGGAGTTTACAGCTGTTGCAGGGAGAAAAGGAACAGGGCTCGGAAAGGGCATCTCCAGGGAGGAGTTGCTGCAGAGATGGAGTATGTGCTCTGAATCAAGCGTGGGGGATTGTTCTTCCCGTTAGAGAGGGAGGCTGATGGCTAACGTGTGGGTGAAAGGGTCTCTGTAGGGTTTTCAAGTTCGTAGGTGCAGCCCAGAGAAGCCCCAGAGCTGGGCCAACTGTTTTAAGTCTTGGGCTGTAAAATCTGAAGGCCTACAGCTGGGCATTAGGCCTATTTAAGGCCCACCCATGGAAGCTGGACTTTATCTCTGTTTATCCCTTCAGGGTGCCTTGCTCTGCACCCCAGCAATCTCTTCTTCACCTTCTCATTAAGCGCCCATGGGGTCAGAGCTGGTTCCAAGACTGGGGGACTGCAGGCATTGGATGGCCCTGACTCTGAATGACTCCCTCTCCCCACCTGCGCCTTCTCTCCACCTCAGCTGCCTGACCACAGACACTTACTGGTACAGTGGGGAAACCTGTGAGTTTATTACCAAGAAGAGCCAGGTGTACGGGCTCCTGGGAGCAGTGGGTGCGGTGGTGCTGGTTGTCCTCGTCATCCTCCTGGTGTTCGTGTTCCGCTCCGAGAGAGGGGTGAAAAGGTGAGCCACTGCTGCCGCCTCTTCCATTTACCTCCAGCTCCTCCTCCTTTTCTGATCCCTCTGTCTTTAATCATTTTATCCTTGGGGTGGACAGTCAGTCCCCATATTTTTGTTCCCGTTATCCACTCAAAATGGGATTTCTCCGGTGTTTCTATCATCAGGCAAAAGTCCAAAGTGACTCAGTTGTACAAGTGGCATGAAGAGGATGGAGGACCAGCCCCTGGGACCTTCCAAAACACTGCCTTTGCCATCTGTGAAGGTACTGGAAATTCTCAGTGAACTCAAAATATCTCAATGTGTGGAGACGCACATCTGAGGCATGTGAGAGGGGCTTGAAGGAGCAAAGGGGAAAAGATTTTCATCTCCAAAATATTTGGTTCTACATCTACAGCCCTATTTCCACCGCTGACTCCTGCAAGGCCCTGGGTGGGCACAGTGTAATTAGACTGTGGGTTTGGGGGGATGTCACAGATTATGTGATGGTTGTAGATTTCTCTAGAACACAAAACCGTGCCTATATGGACACGGATAAGCACCGAGGAGTGGATAAGTTCGTGAACAGGTGGGTTATAACTCAGTAAAGTGATTAACTATAGATTTTATTAGGTTAAATGCACATGTTAAAATGTCTAGAAATTTAATCTTCAAATTCTAAACAAGGAACAAATGGAATAAGAATATTTGTAAAAAATGGTCTTTAAATTCTAAAGAAGGGGAAAATTGGAATGAGGAAAATGCTTTAGTCTACCCACAAAAAGGTGAGAAAGGGGAAACGAAAAAGGGAAAGAGTATAACACATAGGATAGAATAAGATAGAAAATAATCCAACCATATCAATAACTATAATAAATATAAATGAGTTAAACACTTCAATTAAAAGAGTACATTTTAAAAAATCTATTTACTGTAGATGAACAGCACAGTTATAAAATAAAAATGTAAAAGAGAAGCACAGAGTAAGGATGAAAACAGAAGTATAGAGAAAGACAAAACAGGGAAATACCAAAATAGCTGTTCTATATATAGCTATATTCATTGTGGGCAAATAAACTTTAAGGCAAAAGGAATTACTAGGGATAAAAATGATCAATATCTACTGGGAAATGGTTTACTTTGTTAAGAAAATATAACAAGTTTAACTTGTAAGTCCTATTAATACAGCTTTAAAATGTATAAAGCAAAAAATGATAAAACTACAAGTAAAAATTAATGAATTCACCAACTTGGTGAGAGTTTTTTAAAAGAAATTTTCTTAGTAATTGATTGATCAAGCAGGTAAAAACAAAACAAAAGAAAAAAACATCAAGAATATAAAACTTTCGTACAAAATAAATAACAGCCTTAATATAATTTGCATAGACAGACTACATTAAAAAAACTGGAGAGTATACATTCATTACAAGAGTAGATGGAAAACTTATAAGAATCACCACACAAAGTTAGAAAAAAATGTCAATAATTTTTTTAAAAGTTATTTAAATCAGACTCTATTATTTGACTACAATATAAGTGAGTTAGAAATCAATAACAGCCCTGGCCGGTTTTGCTCAGCGGTTAGAGCGTCGGCCTGCGGTCCTGAGAGACCCGGGTTTGGTTCCCGATAAGGGCCCGTACCTCGGTTGCAGTTTGTCCCCGGCCCTGGTTGATCGTGCGGGTGGCAGCCACTCGATGTGTTCCTTTCACATCGATGTTTCTCTCTCTCTCTCTCTGTTCCTCTCTCTCCCTCCCACTCTACCTGAACAAAAAAATGGGAAAATGTCCTCGGGTGAGGATAAAAAAAAAAGAGAAAAAAAAGACAGAAATCAATAACAAAAAATATTTCTGGAAATAAAAAAAATCCTGTATCTTTGGAAAAATTTTTAAAGTTTCTTAATAACTCATGGGTCAAAATTTAAAGACCAAACTCAACTTATGCACATAGTTACAAAGATGCTAAACAAAAAATTTAGCACACCAAATCTAGCGGGTATAAAAAAACATGACCAGGTAAGTTTATTCTAGAAAACAGAGTTAGCTCAAGATTAGAAAATCTATTTATAAATTCACCACTTTACCAGAATAAGAAGGAAAATAGGATCAACTCAATGAATGCAAAATAAAGAATTTAATAAATGTCCATATCTGCTCAACATAAAAACTCATTTAATTAGGAATAGAATTTTCATTTCCTGGTAAAGGCATCTATACAGACACAAAATCATTCTTCAATGAAAGCAAAGTCATTAAAGTCATTCAGTTGATCCAGGGGTTGGCAAACTTTTTTATAAAGGATATATTTTGGGCTTTGTGAACTATATGATCTCTGTCACAGCTACTCAACTCCACTGATGTAGCATGAAAACAGACATAGACAATATATAAATGAATGAATGAGTGTGGTATTGTTCCAATACAACTTTTTCCACCACTTAAAAAATTTTTTTTAATTCTTAGCTGTGGGACATATAAATATAAGTGGCAGGCTGGATTTGGGTCACAGGTGATATTTTGTCGACCCCTGTACTGAACCAGAAGCAAGTCACAGATGCCCCCTATCACAATTCTATTAATTACTGTCCTGGGTGTCCTAATTAGTATAATAAAAAAGAAAAATAAAGTGTTTAAAGATTGAAAAGAAAGAGATAAATCTGTCATTTGTTATGTGGTTGTCTTAAATAAAACCCAAAAGAATGTCAAATCACTAAAATTAATAGAATTCAACAAAGTTGCCAGATATAAGATCAATTATTATAAGGTAAATTGCATTTCTATGCATCAGCAACAAACTGATAATATAAAAATACTCTTTATACAGAACCTAGAAATATATTTAACAAAGGATGCTTAAGACTTTTCAGTGGAAAATGATGAAACTAAAAACATTGTAGAAATCCTACATGAAAGAAAAGCCACATGTTCATGGATTGGGGCGGTCAATATCCTAAAGCTATCAAATGGCACCCAAGCCAGGCCAAATCTTAATGGACTTCATGAACTTGAGAAGCTGCTTGCAAAGCACTTACGATTTTTCTTTTTTGAATTTTTAAATGTGATTTTTTTTACATTTTTCAAGAATCAATCAAACCACTTGATGAGGTCAGGTAAGTTAGGTAGCCTCTCTTGTTGAAATAGTTTTCAGGTTCCTAGGAAGTGGGGACGCACCCCTCATTGGGCAGTGGGTAGGGTTAGAGGGGGAGATGAGAGCTTGTCTTCCTAACCATGTGCTTATGTGGGGCTTTCTCCTTGTCTAGAACCAGAGAACTCCATGAACCTGGACTCCATCTATAGTAACTTCCAGCCCTCCCTGGGCCACATAGACTCTAAAAAAAAAAGGTAAGAAGGGTCTGCATGAGATGCTCACCTCCCCCTGCTCTGAGACCCCATCTCCCCTCCTACCATCTTCAGGAAAGCAGTCATGTTTATGATTGCTAGTCCAGGTGATCATCCAGGACTACACTGCTGGGAAATAGACATAACTCAGGATGGTAGCAGGTGGGGAAAGAGAGTTAAGCAGCAAGGTGGGGTCTACCCTATTTAGACCCCTGAGGCTTCAGGCTCAGAGGTTTCCTTTTGCACTTTAAGTATGTCCTTGATGTCAAATTTATTTAGGTATTTTAATTTTCAAACACACATGAAAGTCAAAATAATAGTGCAGTAAATACTTATATACCTCACTAAATCAACAATGTTGAACATGTTGCCATATATATCACATCAATTTTTACTGAACCATTTGGAAGTCAGTTGCAAATATTATGACACTTGATTGCTAAACACATTAGTACATACCCTAAAATACCATTATCATACCCAATAAATTGATAATAATTATAGAATATCATCCAATTTGTATTTTTCCAGTTAACCCAAGAACATTTCTTATTACCAATATTTTCTAATGTGAATACCACAAATTTCACTCACTGACTTCTGTTGTGTTCATTTGGTCTTTTAACCAACTACTGTATCCTAACCTTTTTAATATACAGGGGTGGGCAAAAGTAAGTTTATAGTTTTTCATACAGAAAATAATACAATAATAAACTTTGTTTCGTGTACTCATAACTGTAAACCTACTTTTGCCCACCCCTGTATTGGTTTTTGTAAGAGTCTAAGATGTTTTTCTTAAAGAATATCCCACATTCTGGATTTGTCTAATTCTTTCCTTATGGTGTCGTTTAACATGTCCCTCTGTCCTCTGTAGTTCCTATAAACTGGCAATTTGGTCTACAGGCTTGATTATACTCAGCTTAACCATTTTTTGTTAAGCGTATGTCTTAGATAATGGTATTGCATCACCTCAAGAGGTACATAATATCAGGTTGTCTCACTATAATTGAAACCAAGATAGGACACTTGGGTAAGGGGTGACAACTCCATGATTGCCACTTTTATTTTAACTGGATGGATATTTGTGGGTGGAAGAAATACCCTCAAAGTATTCACATCTCAGAAGAAGTATAATTGGCTTCAGGCACGGGTTCTCTTCCCTAGAGACAACCTTGTTGCCAAGATGAACTTCCTAGCCAGGACACTTTTAAACCTACCTAATTTGGGGGTTGGGTAGAGTGGAGGGACACAGTAGGTTTGTACTAGACTCCAGGTAATAGAATAAGTTCTAAACTGAGTATTTCCCCTGTCCCAAGACTCTTATGCTTCCAGATTCCAGGTTTCTTATGGGCCCAGCCCTCACCTGGTTCTAACTCTCTTTCCAGATAAAAATTCCTCTGATGATTCTGCCTCCGGTGATTATGACATCAATTTAAGGCAAAGGCAATTTCACATGGAGCTGTGACGTCTGGAAATGAGGAGATCTCAGTTCAGCTAAGTTTCACGGAACATTTCCCCATTGAGAGCATTCCACAGGAACATGATAAGAAATACGGAGGAAGAGAAGAGAGACCATGGTTCTGAGAACGTCTCAAATAGAAACACCGCGGGAGTTCCGACGGGCTTGTCTTGACCTTAGTGCTCATTCTGCAGAGGTTCTTCCTCCTCCGTGCCCCGCTTCAGCACCAAGGACAGCATTCTGTTCAAAGGGTTTACAACGCTGATCAGTCAAACAATGGATTGCATTTCAGGTTATACAAAATGATCTTGTAAGATTTATTGAATTCCTTCTTCATGAAAAACGTTTTTAAAAAAATGTATAGCATTTTTAGTATATCAGATTATGACTATTTTAAAGTTCTTTTTATCTATAGATTCTATTTTTTTTTGTTAGTCAATATAAACATATTTTTAATAACTAAAAACAACACAAGCAATTTTATTAAAATGTTCATGGTTCCCATACCATTCTCCAGTCAACGTCCTATACAAGCTCCTGTTCCTCACCAACCGGGATCTCTCTTCCTTCCCTTCTCTCCTCCAGGATGTAGGGTCCGATGAGTTTGGCCTCAAGATGATAAAAAGGAAATCTACAGTCAGGAAGAGTGCAATCTCTGACCTCCCCTGACATCACTTGCTGGCCACTGAAATGCCACGAGGATCCCATGCACACTCACTCACATGACACAGGGACTCAGCTCCTACTGAAAGAGAACCCAGTTCTCCTTCTGGAAATGGGCTCTTTCCCATAGATCTGAAAAGATGGAGTCTTAGGTTCTATTTCCAGCTTTCTCATTAACTCCCTTGATTAAATTTGGGAAAATCGTATTTGACCATTTGGACTTAGTCTTGCCTTCTGCTGAATAGGGACTGGGTGTTCCTCATCACTGTAACTTGTTACATTTTTAGAATGCTTTATTACTATTCCTGCCATGCAGCTGAGAATTCATTTTGTGCTGGAAGGTCTCTTCCACAGACCACCCCACTTAAACCTTAACCTAAGAAAGAGCCTAGGCTCTGCTGCCCCCTCATGGACGCTTAGAGCATCTGCAGCTACTTTGAGCAGCTCGGAGCCATTCCCTCCTGGCCTCCCCCATTAAAGATCGTTAGGCTTCACTTGGCTCATTCCCATATTTGCCATTAATCCCCCAGCTCCTAAAACTGGGCTGTCGTAGTCTGTTCACTCTTTTGTTACAGAATACCATAAACTGGGTGGTTTATAAACAACATGTATTTCTCACAGTTCTGGAAGCTGAAAAGTCTAAGATCACAGTATGGGCAGATTTGGTGTTTGGTGAGCACCTGCTTCCTGGTTCACAGACACCTACCTGTCTTTTTTCTGTGTCCTCACGTGGCGGAAGGGGCGAGAGAGCTCTCAGGCCTTTTTTATAACGGCACTAATACCATTCAGAAGGGCTCTGCCTTCATGACCTAATCACTTCCCAAAAGGCCCCACCTCCTAACACCATCACACTGGGCATTAGGTTTCATCATACGATTTTTGTAGGGGAAACACACATTTAGTCTGTAGCATGGATTGAACCCAGGCATCTTTACTGTCAGAACCACCTTCAGCCTTCCACAGGCCCAGGTATCAGTGGCTATGGGAGGGGCATTTAAAAGGTCTACAGACCCCACATCCAGTCTAAAACCACGTTACCCACCTCAGCCCCTTCCTGCTCTCTTCTCACATCTGCTCTGTGGAGAGAAAGACCAGAGGGGCTAAATGCATAGCTGGCCCAGGTCCAGCACTGGGTGAGCTACCCAGCTTCCTGGGCGAGCTTGGGGAAATAACTTCTCTCTGGACCTCAGTTCTCTCAGCTGTAAAAACTGAGTGACCACTCACCTTGTGCCAAGCATCATTCTAAGTTTTGTATATTTTAACTTATACATTCCTTACCACCCTGTGGAGTGGGAACTAGCATCATTCCCATTACACAGGTCAGGAAACTGAGGCAGAGAGGCATCCAGTAACTTGCCCAAGATCATGCAGTCAGTGGGTTGTAAACTGAGATTGTGAACCAGTCATATTTGTGTTCCTGATCAACAGTTATGTGCCTTCCCTGTGAGGCTGCCCTTGGGATTAACTGGGTTAATACATGTAAAGTCTTTGGAACAAAGTCTGGCTCATAGAAAGTTCTAGAAAAAAGGAAAACAGTATTTACATCAACTTTCGCCCTCACAATTCTCTCTCTCCATAGCCTTTTTCTTTTAAGTCTCTTCTTCCTCTCCTCTTCCAACCCTAGAAGAGTGATAGGTTTGACTGGGGGCAAGATGAAAGGAAAGTCCTGCCACTTTGCAGAAACAGGGAAATCTAAATGCACAGAGATACACCAAAGAAGGTTGGAGGTGGATACACCAAGGCACAGAGAGGAAGATCTGGTGGTGGAGCTTAAAAGCAAAGAGGACCTTGAGAACCACCCCTCCAGGCTCACCTCTGGCCACCTACATCGCCCCCCAGTCACACTGTTCCACGTGCTATGGCTTCCCCTTTGGTGCTGCTCCTGCCTGGACTGTGGGTCTGTATAGGGCTATCTCCTCGGCCCAGCATGTCTGCCTCATGGTTCCTCTCCCTGTAGCCTGCCCTCCTGACTATCACTTCCGCCAAAGTCACTGGCTCTTTCCTGATTGTGCTATTTACCTGCTTTTTTAAAAAATGTTTTTATTGATCTTTAGAAACAGAGGAAGGGGAGGGAGAAGGAGAGAAGGAGGGAGAGAGGGAGAGGGGGAGGGGGGAGAGAGAGAGAGAGAGACATCGATCAGCTGTCCCCTGTACTCACGCTGTCCCAGGATCAAACCTGCCACTTTTCAGTGCATAGGGCAACACTCAACCAATTGAATCACACTGGCCAGGGCTCACCTGCTCTTATTAAAGCAAATCTACACTCCTCAGAGTGGTTTTCAAGGTCTCTGGAATTGGAACCCATTTTTCCTCATGGCTCTCTCTCTCCTTCATCTCTCTACCGCATGTTCTGAAGAAATTCCACCCTCTCCCCTCAGCTGCTTCTTCAACCCAAAATGCTCTTCCCACACCTTCCTCTCTAGAACCTGATTCATCCTGAAACTATAATTCCTCTTCCTCCAGGAAGTCCACTCTGATACAACACTTCACAATTAATTTCTCTCATCTGTGTCCCTGGTCTTAGTCATCTCAGGCTGCCATAACAAAATATCATATACTGGGTGGTTTAAACAACAGATAATAATTTTCTTGCAGTCCTTGAAATTGGAAATCCAAGAATAGGGTGCCAGCAAGACCGTGTTCTGGTAGGGGCTTTCTTCCTCATTTGCAGATGGCCACATTCTCACTGTGTGATCACGTGACTGCTTTTGGTGCGTGTGAACATACGTGAGAAGTGGGGTGGGGGAGAAGCAAACTCTTTAGTGTCTCTTTTTATAAGGGCAGTAACCCCATCAGACCAGGGCCCCACCTTCATGACCTCATCTAATTCCCAAAGGCCCCATCTTCAAATGCCATCACTTTAGGAATTAGGGCTTTGGGGGTGG